AACGCAGACTTTCTGATTTTTTATATCTATAAAATATATAATATACACACTATATATAATGTATAATATACACACTATATATAATGTATAATATACACACTATATAATGTATAATATACATACTATATGTAATATATAATGCATTCTATATATAATATGCATTCTATATAATATATAACATGCATACATATAACATATAATATACATATGATATACAATATATAATATACATATATAATATGCATATTATATATAATATACATATATAATATGCATATTATATATAATATACAATATAATATACATATATAATATGCATATTATATATAATATACATATAACATATAACACATAATTTATAATATACATATATAATATACATATTATATAATGTACACATCACTGCACTCCAGCCTGGGTGACAGAGTGAGACTCTGTCTCAAAAACAAAAAACAAAACATTTTCTCTATATAGTTATAATGACCTTTATCAATATGTGTACATGAATATACAAAGACCACATGTTGTATGATCCATGTATATGAAATGTTTGGAATAGGCAGATCCACTGAGACAGGAAGTCAATTCGTGGTTGTCAGGGAATGAGGGAATGGGGAGTGATTGCTAATGGGTATAGGATTTCTTTTTGGGATGATGAAGTTTTCTAAAATTAGATATTGGTGATGGTTGTGCAACCCTGTGAGTATATTAATAAACACTGAATTGTATAGTTAGGAGGGTGACAAGGCATATGCATTATACCTCAATAAAGCTGTTACCAAAAAAAATGTTAACATTGGAGGGGGAAGGACATAATGGACTCTCAGTACTATTTTTAAAACCTTTCTGTGCATCTAAATTATTCCACATTTAAAAGTTTATTCCTGGCCGGGCGCAATGGCTCAGGCCTGTAATCCCAGCATTTTGGGAGGCCAACGCGGGTGGATCACGAGGTCAGGAGATCAAGACCATCCTGGCTAACACGGAGAAACCCCGTCTCTACCAAAAATACAAAAAATAAGCCGGGCGTGGTGGCGGGCGCCCATAGTCCCAGCTACTTGGGAGGCTGAGGCAGGAGAATAGCGTGAACCCAGGAGGCGGAGCTTGCAGTGAGCCAAGACCACGCCACTGCACTCCAGCCTGGGCAACAGAGCGAGACTCCGTCTCAGAAAAAAAAAGTTTATTCCACAAAGAGACACCACACCCACTAAATTGGCTATAATGAAAGACAGATAATAAGTGTTGGCGACCATGTGGCATGGCAACATTGGAACCCTCCATACTCTCCTGGTGGGAATGCAAAAAGGTGCAGTCACTTTGGAAAACTGACAGTTCTTCTAAAGGTTAAACATAGTAATACTCTATAACCTCACAATTCCATGATTAGTCAAATATACAAGAGAAATGAAAACCTATGTCCATAAGTTGTATGCAGATGTTCCCAGCAGCATTGTTCAACATAGCCCAAAATGGAAACAACTCAAATGTCCATCAACTGATAAACAGATAAAAACATGTGGTCTGTCCATATATTGAAATATTATTTGGCAATAAAAAGGACAGTCCTGATACTTGCTACAACATAGACGATCCTTGAAAACATTCTAAGCATAAGACAGATATCAATACACAAGAGATATCTATTAAGAAAAAAAGGCTAGGCGTGGTGGCTCACACTTGTAATCCCAGCACTATGGGAGGCCGAGATGGGCAGATCATGAGGTCAGAAGATTGAGACCATCCTGGCTAAGACGGTGAAATCCCATCTCTACTAAAAATACAAACAATTAGCCAGATGTGGTGGCGGGCGCCTGTAGTCCCAGCTACTCAGGAGGCTGAGGCAGGAGAATGGTGTGAACCCGGGAGGCGGAGCTTGCAGTGAGTCGAGATTGTACTCCAGCCTGGGCAACAGAGAGACTCCGTCTGAAAAAAAAGAAAAGAAAAGAAAAAGAAAAAAAAAAGGCCACATGCAGTTGCTAACACCTGTAATCCCAGCACTTTGGGAGGCCCAGGCGGGCAGTTCACCTGAGGTCGGGAATTCAAGACCAGGCTGACCAATATGGAGAAACCGTCTCTACTAAAAATATAAAATTAGTTGGGAGTGGTGGTGCATGTCTGTAATCCCAGCTATTAGGGAGTCTGAGGCAGGAGAATTGCTTGAACCTGGGAGGCGGAGGTTGCAGTGAGCTGAGATCATGCCATTGCACTCCAGCCTGGGCAACAAGAATGAAACTCCATCTCAAAAAAAAAAAAGGGTGGGGTGGCTCACGCATGCAATGCCAGCACTTCGAGAGGCTGAAGCAGGAAGATCACTTGAGTCCAGTAGTTCGAGATCAACCTGGACAATATGGTGAAAGCCCACCTCTACCAAAAATACAAAAATTCGCCACCAGGTGTGGTGGTGTGCACCTGTGGTCCCAGATACTCAGGAGGCTGAGGTGGGAGAATTGCTTGAGCCCAAGAGGTGGAGGTTGCAGTGAGCTAAAATCACACCATTGCACTCCAGCCTGGGCAACAGGAGTGAAACTCTATCTCAAAAAAAAAAAAAAAAAAAAAAAAGAAGAAGCAGCCAGATACAAACAACACATACTGTATGACTCCATTTATTTGAAATACACTAGGCTAGACACAGTAGTTCAGACCTATAATCCCAGTACTTTGGGAGGCCAAATTGGGAGGATTGTTTGAGCCCAGGAATTCAAGATCACTTTGTTTTGTTTTGTTTTTGACATGGTGTCACCCAGGCTGAAGTGCAGTGGCGTGATCTTGGCTCATCACAACCTCTGCCTCCCGGGTTCAAGTGATTCTCCTGCCTCAGCCTCCCGAGTAGCTGGGATTACAGGCGCCCACTATTATACCTGGCTAATTTTTGTATGTTTTTAGTAGAGATGGGGTTTCTCCATGTTGACCACGCTGGTCTCAAACGCCTGACCTCTGGTGATCTGCCTGCCTCAGCCTCCCACAGTGCTGGGATTACAGGAGTGAGCCACTGTGCCCAGCCCTGAGATCAGTTTGGGCAACACAGTGAGACCCCATCACCACAAATAATAAAAAATTAGCCAGGCATCGTGGCACACGTCTGTAGTCTCAACTCCTTGGGAGGCTGAGTTGGGAAGATTGCTTGTACCCAAAAGGTCGAGGCTACAGTGAGTCATGGTCATGCTGCCACTGCACTCTAGTCTAGGTGACAGTGAGACCCTGTTTCCTAGAAAAAAAAAAAGAAGAAAAGTAAAAAGAAGAAATGCCCTAAACATGCTAAACATGTAAATCTATAGAGTCAGAAAGTAGGTTAGTGTTCGCCTAAAGCTGGAGGATGATTGGGAGAAAATGGTGTCTCTGCTAATGGATATGGGGCTTATTTTGAGGGCAATGAAAATATTCTAAAATTAGGTCGGGTGCGGTGGCTCACGCCTGTAATCCCAGCACTTTGGGAAACCAAGGCGGATGGATCACCTGAGGTCAGGAGTTTGAGAGCAGTCCGGCCAACATGGCGAAACCCTGTCTCTACTAAAAGCACACAAAAAATTAGCCGGGCATAGTGGTGGGCACCTGTAGTCCCAGCTATTGGGGAGGCTGAGGCAGGAGAATTGCTTGTACCCGGGAGGCGGAGGTTGCAGTGAGCCGAGATGGCACTACTGTACTCCAGCCTAGGCAACAGAAGGAGACTACATCTCAAAAAAGAAAATAAAATGAATCTTTTAAAACCACCAGATGGGCCAGGTGGGGTGGCTCATGCCTGTAATCCCCACACTTTGGAAGGTTGAGGGGGATGGATCACCTGAGGTCAGGAGTTTGGGACCAGCCTGGCCAACATGGTGAAACCCCATCTCTACTAAAAATACAAAAATTAGCTGGGTGTGGTGGCATGTGCTTATAATCCCAGCTACTTGGGAGGCTGAGGCAGGAGAATCACTTGAACCCAGGAGGCGGAGGTTGCAGTGAGCCAAGATCGTGCCACTGTACTCTCCAGTCTGGTGACAGAGCGAGACCTTGTCTCAAAACCAAAAACAAACAAACAAAAATAGCCAGGAGTGATGGTGCACACCTGTAGTCCCAGCTACTAAGGAGGCTGAGGCAGGAGAATCACTTGAACCAGGGAGGCAGAGATTGCAGTGATCTAAGATAGTGCCACTGCACACCAGCCTGGGCCACAGAGTAAGACTCTGTCTCAACAACAACAAACACACACAAAAAAACACCAGATGCCTGTTTCAGAGAAATATTTAAATATAAATAGGCCCACGGAGTGGCTCATGCCTGTAATCCCAGCACTCTGAGAGGCCGAGGCAGGTGGATCACCTGAGGTCAGGAGTTCGAGACCAGCCTGGCTGACATGGTGAAACCTCATCTTTACTAAAAACAAAAATTAGCTGGGTGTGGTGGCACACACCTGTAATCCCAGCTACTCGGGAGGCTGAGGCAGGAGAATCGCTTGAACCAGGAGGCGGAGGTTGCAGTGAGCCGAGATTGTTTGACTGCACTCCAGCCTGGGCAACAGAGTGAGACTCCATCTCAAAACAAACAACAAAAAAGTAAATAGCTGGCATTACAACCATTCTACTTACCTTTTTGTAGGTTACAGGTTTCATATTTGAGCTTTTCATAATTTTTAATGATATATTAATACATTATAATGCATATTTTCCTATTTTTTTCCTGCTATGTAAACACTGCTGTTTGGTCAGACGATGGAGAGAGCCGTGCCCTGGGACGGGTAGGGGAGGAGGAAGGCGACCTCAACCCAAGTCCCCTGTTCACCCTGGGATCAGGCCCTCACCCAGGTAGCTCCTCTGTTTGAAAGCTCTAAGCCCTTCCACTCTCCTCTTCAGGGCTACCTGGCACACAGCCTCTTCCTTGTCTATTCTTCCCTTTGGTAGGGTCACACCCGCACTTAGGGTCACTGCCCCCTTCTCTGGTCGAGGGTTGGAGGGAGTGTCCTTCCTGCTCTCCTCCCCTGGGGTCACACCCCTTCCCTCGGAGGAAGGAGGTCACCGGCCACAGGCGGGGGCCTCAGTTTCCCACGCTACGGGGCTCACACATGTCTGGCCCGCGACGCGCTCTCCCTTGGCCGGGGTTCCAGTTTCCCGCCCAGGAGTCCTCGGTCCCTCCCCCCGAGGCCGCCGGGCCCTCCTCCAGAGCCCCGCGGCCCGCCGCGGGGGCTCCAGGCCAGCCCCGCCGTCACCCGGTGCGAGCCCACTAGAGGCCTTGTGCAGCTGGCAGCCCCGCCCCGGCACCCGCCTGCTCTTCTCGCGGGTCCAGACCGCGAGCGCGGGGGCCGATGGGTCGCCTCTGCGCCGGGCCGGGTGGCGCGGGATGGCGGCCACCGCGCTGCTGGAGGCCGGCCTGGCGCGGGTGCTCTTCTACCCGACGCTGCTCTACACCCTGTTCCGCGGGAAGGTGCCGGGTCGGGCGCACCGGGACTGGTACCACCGCATCGACCCCACAGTGCTGCTGGGCGCGCTGCCGTTGCGGAGCTTGACGCGCCAGGTGAGCCAGGCCGGGAAGCCCGGGCACCTGCCCCGTCCCCGCCGTTCCGTCTCTGTCGGGCCGCTGGGGTCTCCACCGTCTTTGCTGAGCCACCTCTTTGCCTCGGCAGCTGGTACAGGACGAGAACGTGCGCGGGGTGATCACCATGAACGAAGAGTATGAGACGAGGTTCCTGTGCCACTCTTCACAGGTGAGGGACTGGGCCGCGGGGCAGGCTCGGGGGCCCGCTCCCCTCGCCCACCGCCCTGGGCCTGGGACTGCTAGAGAAGTTTGGGGGAGGTCATCATGCCCCAGAGCCAGGCGTCCCAGGCTGCTTTGCCTCCGGTCTGGTCCTCTAAACGGCACCTGGAGGTAGGCTAGAAACTGTGAAAGGCGTTTATTTAAAAGTTCAAGTTGGGCCGGGCGCGGTGACTCACGCCTGTAATCCCAGCACTTTTGGGAGGCGGGAGGAGGAGGCGGGCAGATCACTTGAGCCCAGGAGTTCCTGACCAACCTGGGCAACATGGCGAGGCCCCCATCTCTACAAAAATACAAAATGTAGCCGGGAATGGTAGCGTGCGCCTGTAGTCCCAGCTACTTGGGAGGCTAAGGCAGGAAAATCACTTGAGCCGGGGAGGTGGAGGTTGCAGTGAGCCGACATCTTGCATTACAGCCCAGCCTTGCGCGACAGGAGTGAAACAGTCTCAAAAAAAAAGAAAAAAAAAGTGCAAGTTGACAAAGTCTGATTTCTCCTTTGTGAACGAATGTAATGTATTCTTATTTCGGTAAACAAAATCAGAAACTAAAATTGAAAGGCAACTTTCCTGTGCCTTCCTGATTTCATTCATTCTTTCTGCACTTTGAGCTCTGAGTATGGGTCAGCATTCCCAGTGTTAAGGATTCCAGATGAAGGCCCTGCCAACTATAAGACGAAAAGCACCCCCTTAACACGTCCCCCTCCCCACATTTTTCATAAAAACTGTAGAGTTAATTTGGCTCTGATTTGGGGGAATTTTTAGTCATATGTTAGAAATCATGGTGGAACTACAAAGTTCTCTCATAACAAAGTTTAGGCCTAAAGCATAACTTTCATTAAATGTGACTGGCTTGTTTGTGGAATCTTCCACAATGGTTATTAGAAGATGTTATCTGGTCGGGCGCGATGGCTCAAGACCGTAATCCCAGCACTTTGGGAGCCTGAGACGGGCAGATCACGAGGTCAGGAGATCGAGACCATCTTGGCTAACACGGTGAAACCCCGTCTCTACTAAAAAAATACAAAAAACTAGCCCAGCTACTCGGGAGGCTGAGGCAGGAGAATGGCATAAACCCGGGTGGCGGAACTTGCAGTGAGCCGAGATCTGGCCACTGCACTCCAGCCTGGGTGACAGAGCGAGACTCCATCTCAAAAAAAAAAAAAAGAAGATGTTATCTACAATGTGATTAAAAATGTTGCCCTATCTTTATAGTGTTTGGCATCTAATAGCACTAAACAATTATCTTTCTCATTTGTTTTACTGATATAGCATGATGAAGATACTATTATTTCAACCTGAGGATTTTTTGAAACCTTAAAAATATTTGTGACTTGGCTGGAAATATTTGTGACTTGGCTAGGCGTGGTAGCTCTGACGCCTGTAATCCCAGCACTTTGGGAAGCTGAGGTGGGTGCATCGTGTGAGGTCAGGAGTTTGAGATCAGCCTGGCCAAAATGGTGAAACCCGTCTCTACTAAAAAATACAAAAAACTAGCCGGGCGAGGTGGCGGGCGCCTGTAGTCCCAGCTACTCGGGAGGCTGAGGCAGGAGAATGGCGTGAACCCGGGAGGCGGAGATTGCAGTGAGCTGAGATCCGGCCACTGCACTCCAGCCTGGGCGACAGAGCGAGACTCCATCTCAAAAAAAAAAAAAAAAAAAAAAAAAAAAAGCTGACCTTCATTCAGAACCATAAAGTCTCCGATACTCATTATTAAGAGGTTAATAATAAGAGTAGCTGGAGGATATCTGAAGTCTTAAAGCATAAAGTTTGCCCAGTTGCCAGAGACCTTATTTCTCCTATTTCTTCTTCTTTTTTTTTTTTTTGAGACAGAGTCTCACATCTCACTCCATTGTCCAGGCTGGAGTGCAATGGTGCAATCTCGGCTCACTGCAACGTCTGCCTCCCGGTTCAAGTGATTCTCCTGCCTCAGCCTCCCAAGTAGCTGGAATTACAGGTGCCCGCCACCATGCCTGGCTAATTTTTGTATTTTTTGTGGAGATAGGGTTTCGCCATGTTGGCCAGAGTCATCTCAAACTCCTGACCTCAGGCGATCCACCCACCTTGGCCTCTCAAAATCTGGGATTACAGGCGTGAGCCACCGCACCTGGCCACCTATTTCTTCTTTGTAAGTGATGACATTGCACTAATGAAGGTCAGTGCATTGTTTTAATTTAATTTTTTTTTGTTTTTTTGTTTTCCAGACGGAGTCTTGCGCCTGGCCCATTCTTTTAATTTTAAAATGATAACCCTATTTTCTACCATGTGCTTCCTCAAAAAAAAGTGGTAAAAAAAGAGGAGACTTATGGACAGAGAAATAGAAAGCCCTGGCAAAATATTGTACCCCAAATCTGCAGCTGAATCACTACACAGGTGCCAAAATTATACAAAAAAAAGTTACACTGGCTGGGCCTGGTGGCTCATGCCTGTAATCCCAACACTTTGGGAGGCTGAGACAGGAGGATGGCTTGAGGATAGGAGATTGAGACCAGCCTGGGCAACACAGCGAGACCCCCATCTCCACACACAAAAATAACAAAATTAGCGAGGCACAGTGGCGTGCAGCTGTAGTCACAGCTTCTCAGGAGGCAGAAGTGGGAGGACTGCTTGAGCTTAGGAGTTTGAAGCTGCAGGGAGCCATGATTGCACACCACTGCTCTCTGACCTGAGCGACATAGCAAGATCGTGTCTCTAAAATAAAATACGTATATTTTTTGAGATGTTGTTTTTCTCTTGTCACCCAGGCTGGAATACAATGGTGTGATCTCTGCTCACTGCAACCTCTCTCTCCTGGGTTAAACAATTCTCCTGCCTCAGCCTCCCTAGTAGGTGGGATTACAGGCGTCCGCCACCAGGCCTGGCTAATTTTTGTATTTTTATTAGAGACAGGGTTTCACCATGTTAGCCAGGCTGGTCTCGAACTGCTGACCTTAGGTGATCTGTCCACCTCGGCCTTACAAATCGTTGGGATTACAGGCGTGAGCCACCATGCCCAGCCGAAATAAAATATTAAGATGTTTGCAGCTGAATTTTTTGCAGCTAAAATATATATAGTTAATATTTTGCAGCTAAATATTCAAGTACACAAAGGGTAGTTTAAGAACACTTTACCTGCTGGTGTGGTGGCTCACACCTGTAATGCCAGCACTTTGGGAGGCTGAGGCGGGCAGATGACCTGAGGTTAGGAGTTCGAGACTATCCTGGTCAACATGATGAAATCCCGTCTCTACTAAAAATACAATTAGCCAGGCTTGGTGGCGCGTGCCTGTGGTCCCAGCTACTCAGGAGGCTGAGGCAGGGGAATCGCTTGAACCTGGGAGGTGGAGGTTGCAGTGAGCTGAGATCACACCACTGCACTCCAGCCTGGGCAACAGAGCGAGACTCTGTCTTAATAAAAGAAAAGGAACACTTTAAATCTTGGACATAATTCTAACTCAGCAGCATAGCTGCTGTTTGATGAAAAACCAACTATGTAGGCCAGCCATTTTAAAGACATTTCTGTCCTCACCCGGAATGGGAAAAAAAAGCATTTCTGTAAGAAGTTTCTATTAGAAAACAGGAAACAGTGTATTCCCATTGTAGTAAACCCTGAAACTTCCCTGTTGCTTTGCTGCCTCTTAGGAGCCCCTTATCATCCCACCCACATCAGGTTTTTTTCATTCTTTTTCATACTGGTGGACCTGGTTCCAGGAGTGGAAGAGACTAGGAGTCGAGCAGCTGCGGCTCAGCACAGTAGACATGACTGGGATCCCTACCTTGGACAACCTCCAGAAGGGAGTCCAATTTGCTCTCAAGTACCAGTCGCTGGGCCAGTGTGTCTACGTGCATTGTAAGGCTGGGCGCTCCAGGAGTGCCACTATGGTGGCAGCATACCTGATTCAGGTACAAAAGTTCTTTCTGGGCTGGGCATCGTGGTACATGCTTACAATCCTAGCATTTTGGGAGGCTTGAAGTGGGAGGATGGCTTGAGCCCAGGAGTTTGAGATCAGACTGGGCAACATGGCAAAGCCGTCTCTACAAAAAATACAAAAAGTTAGCTCGGTTTGGTGGTGTGCACCTGTAATCCCAGCTACTTGGGAGGCTGAGATGGAAGGATCACCTGAGCCCGGTAGGTAGAGGCTGCAGTGAGCCATGATTTGTGCCACTGCACTGCAGCATGGCCGACACAGTGAAACCCTGTCTCAAAAAAAAAAAAAAAAAAAAAAATCTTTCTGGTCCCATTTATAGATTTCCAGAACTTCAATAGCATGGTCTACTGGTGGGCCCTGTTGGAAGGAGCTGTGTGCTTGATTTCAGGCTGTTGGGAGATGGTGTGGTATGATGGAAAGCACCTGAGCCTTGTGACAAGCTAACCTGGGGCTCTGCCGCCTGCCAGTGAGGATCAGCAAAAGTGACTGATACCTAATGCTGTTTTCTCAAACTAAATGTATTATGAAGTTTAAATAAGAAATTACATCAAGTGCTGGCTACAGCAGGCACTCTAAAAATGGAGTTGCAAAAGATACTCAACCCCAGCAAAAGGCTAGACACTTGTTCTAATACCATGTCAGGGAACAATACTGTAGATAATAGTGATGATCATTTTCAGCTTTATAGTACTCAAGTTTCTCCAAGTATTCCAGAGTCAAGTTCTGGATATTAGTTTCTGGAAACAGGCTCCAAACTAGATTCTGCCTGTTAATTTGTCATGATTGGCAGGTGGGATGCTTTAAAAATATTTAGGAGAAACAAATACCCTGTAGTCCATCATCATTTTGTAACCTGAGTTACAAAATGGCTCCCACAGAGCATTTTCTAAGTCATGTGAATAGCTCAGTTTGGCCTTGTGTTACTGTGGACTGCTGTGTATGTATGTAGTTGAACAATACTAAATTTTCAGTCATAAGGACTCTGCTGGACTCAGGGTCTCAGGAGGGTATTTTGCACCCAGTGAGAATTGAATTAGCAAGCTAGAAATCTGTATTTTCTTGGTTCTGTTCGGTTCTAAACCAATGAGTATCCTTAGGACATGTTAACCCTCCTATTTAAATTATGAGTACTTGTTTTTCTAGCCATGGTGACAAGTTGCAAAAAAACATCTACTGCAGGCCGGGCGCGGTGGCTCACGCCTGTAATCCTAGCACTTTGGGAGGCAGAGGCGGGCGGATCACGAGGTCAGGAGATTGAGCCTGGCTAACACGGTGAAACTTCGTCTCTACTAAAAATACTAAAAATTACCTGGGCGTGGTGGCGGGCACCTGTAGTCCCAGCTACTCGGGAGGCTGAGGTAGGAGAATGGCGTGAACCCGGGAGGCGGAGCTTGCAGTGAGCTGAGATCGCCACTGCACTCCAGCCTGGGTGACACAGCGAGGCACTGTCTCAATAAAAAGCAAACAAACAAAACATCTATTGCATACTTGTTCCTAGAAGTTCTTTTAACCAAAAGCCCAGCTCGGAGAGAATGTGGAGTAGGCTGAGGCAGTCTTGAACTTAGGACCTCAGCTTCTCATGTGCAACTTTCTTTTTCTAGGATTTGGCAGAGCAAGAATTGGGTAGAAAGACTGACTTTCCACCTGGCCTGTTGCATAGTATTGTGAGACTGGCTGACTGCAGTGGTTACAGTACTCTCCCATTTATAATACAAGGAGCATGATTTTTAATGCCTCCAAAATGGAGTTTCCAAAGAAATGAAACTCTCGAAGTCCTTTAGCACCTGCTCATGTGTCAAGGGCACGTTGACACCTGCTTTTTTTTTTTTTTTTTTTTTTTTTTTTGAGACGGAGCCTCGCTCTGTCACCCAGGCTGGAGTGCAGTGGCCGGATCTCAGCTCACTGCAAGCTCCGCCTCCCAGGTTTACGCCATTCTCCTGCCTCAGCCTCCCGAGTAGCTGGGACTACAGGCGCCCACTACCTCGCCCGGCTAGTTTTTGTATTTTTTAGTAGAGATGGGGTTTCACCGTATTAGCCAGGATGGTCTCGATCTCCTGACCTCGTGATCCACCCATCTCGGCCTCCCAAAGTGCTGGGATTACAGGCTTGAGCCACCGCGCCCGGCCTGACACCTGCTTCTTTCTTTCTCTGCTGATTTCTCAACCCTGTACTTCAGGTGCACAGATGGAGTCCAGAGGAGGCTGTAAGAGCCATCGCCAAGATCCGGTCTTACATCCACATCAGGCCTGGCCAGCTGGATGTTCTTAAAGAGTTCCACAAGCAGGTTACTGCAGGGGCAGCAAAGGATGGGACTTTTGACACTTCAAAGACATGATGTATGTGGATTAGAAAGAACTCAAGACACTCCTGCTTGATACAGAATAAAAAAAGCTTAACAGGACCCACAGGGCTTAAGCCCAGACTTGACATAACCAAAATGTGCCAATAGGTAATAGGTCATTTTGCTTTCTCTGTCTTGTTTTGTTTTCTTGAAATAACACTGTTGTGTGGCTAGAAAGGAAAAGATTTAGTGTGGCTTGTATTCATGGGATACAGGACAGGGATGGGGCCATCTTCTTTTCTTGAATAGAGCTAAAGAAGTATTTTAACAAAAATCTATTATGTACCTAATATTGTGCCTAATAATATTTAGCACCCCAACTCAAAAGACTTAGCACTAGAAAAAAGGAAACTCAGCTCTGGCTCTTTGCCACTGTCAGAATCTGAGTCTCACTGGCCCTGTGGAGTAGGGATCCTGTCTGGAGAAGCGGGAGCATGGGCGCAGTCAGGACTGCTGCAGACTGAGTCATGTGATGGTACGTTAAGGAGTCCCCCTGAGGGAATGAAACACTCTCGCCCCTTCAAAGTCACCCCTTCGGAATTCAACACAGACACACATATCCCTTCAAAAACTTTTATTTGTATCAACACTTCCTAGCTCTTGACTTGACTTAGAGCTTTTAAAAGAGCAGACACCTTACATATTTGAGCTTGAAAAAGTTTCTGCTATTAATCAGAAATAATCATTTCTATTTTCTGGCTTACCCCTTGGAATAAGCCAAAAATAAAACCAAAGTTACATTTCTTGACAGATGGATGAGAAAACAATAGAAGGAACGTCCTGAATTCTAGAGTTGACTCTTGCTGGTGAAGTACACCTTCAGCTTAGTCCATTCTCCTAAGTAAAGCCTGAAGGAAAACTCTTAACACCTAATTATTTGTGGAAAAATGATCAACTAGCCATTTCATAGGTTATAGAACAAAAGTACAATTGGGCATCTTTCCTTATGTCCTGGGATCAGGGGTGCTTATATTTAACATTGATCAGGTAAAGAGGAGAGGCTGTGCCTAAGGTCTGAGAAACAGTTTGCTCTAAGCAAGCTGTGGTGAGGCACACAATGACTAGGGGATGGCAGAGAACAGGCTGGCCTACTGTCAGTTCAAGCAACCAGCTGAGCAGCAGCAGTCTAAAAAGCCCCAAACAGAACACCTCCATGGGTTCAGGGAAGGGCTGAGGCACTGCCTTTCTAGTATGTGCCAAAAAATACATTACTCTGAATTGGGGCCCGGGGGACTTTGAGTTTGGATGGGGAGGGAAAAGGAGTGAGCAGCTCTCCTCCTCTCCCCACAGCCTTAGGCCAACACAAACTGCAAATTGGTAAGCAGCACCTTAATACCTCTTGTGACAGTTACGGCTGAAGTGGCAGGGTCAAGCTTGTAGGTGTTGGCATCCCCCTTTTTATATCGGTCCCGGAAGACATAGATGCTCCCGTTACAGCTGGCAATCTTCCAGAGGGATGGGGCAGAGCTCCAGGCCTCAGGAAGGCAAAGCCGGGTGAAGCTGTCTAGCAAGGGATTGTAACATACCAGGGAGTCCCCTTCAGCCACGATGAACACCAGATCTTTATGCACAGCTGCGTGCATGTGGCCTGCAAAGGGCAGCACATAGGGCTTCACATGGCATTTGTCTGTCTCTGTGTCAAAGCACTGGATGAGTCGGGAAGGTTTGGTAAAGAAGTCCAGATCATTCTCCTCCCCACCCAGTAAGTAGATGATCCCGTTGAGGTTGGCACCAGCAGCCCCTGACACAGCCACCTCTAGCTGGGTTGTCTCTGTCCACACATTATCACCTACGCGATAATAAATGACTGCATTGGAGAGGGTATCTTGCAGTGTCTTGCCACCCAGTGAATATATGGCATCTTTCCCGGGCACAGACACCAGGGTGTGCTGGAGCCGGTCCCGAGGCAAAGGAGCACACCACTCCCAGTCAACGGTGGCATTGTTGCACTTCCACATGCGCCGTGGGATGGACCCTCCCACCACATACAAGTCTCCACCATGCTTGCAGGCCGCAGTGATCTGGTGGCACAAGCTGTTTTGGCCACTTACACTGATGGAGTCATCTTCTGCACAGTGCAAGGACACAGCCAACGAGTGGGTACGAGATGACTCTTTCCCAATCAGGTAAATGTGCACATTCTCCCCAATTTCCTATTGGCAAAATTAAAATTATATGACAGCTGTTAAGTTCTAGGCTAAGGCTCCGCTAAGACACATATCCTTAAGATCCCGGACTTCACACCTGTACCTAGCTTTAACATACTACTCTCTAATTACTGTATGGCATCCAACTGTCCTCTAGTCACTTTCTTTGAGGCAATTTATGCCGGGAGGAGAATCTTGTATTCACCCTTGTAACTTTTAAAACTCTCATAAGCTGGTGCTTTGGACAAAGGGTGATTAAGATTGTTAACTTGATGAAAGTAGTTCTCAAGGAACTTTGAAAGCTCATAGATTGGTGGTTCTGGGGTTACAAAGACAAAGCTTCTCCCCAGCTTACATCAACTTCAAGCCAGAGATGACTTATTCAAAAAAATAATAAATAAATATAAAAAATTTAAAAAACAAAGATGGCCAAGCGCGGTTGCTCATACCTGTAATCCCAGCACTTTGGGAGGCTGAGGTGGGCAGATCATCTAAGCTCGAGAGTTCGAGACCAGCCTGATCAATATGGTGAAACCCTGTCTCCACTAAAAATACAAAAATTAGCTGGGCGTGGTGGTATGCACCTGTAGTCCCAGCTATTCGGGAGGCTTAGACAGAATTGCTTGAACCCGAGAGGTGGAGGTTGCAGTGAGCTGAGATCATGCCATTACACTCCAGCCTGGGCAACAGAGTGAGACTCTGTCTCAAAAAAAAAAAAAAAAAGCAAAAACGAAAACAGATGACCATTCATAACCTGGCCATCAAAAAGAGGCCAGGTTAGGTCAGGTGCATTGGCTCACGCCTCTAATCCCAACACTTTGGAAAGCCAAGGCGGGTGGATCGCCTGAGGTCAGGAATGAGACCAGCTTGGCCAACATGGTGAAACCCGTCTCTATTAAAAATACAAAAATTAGCTGGGTGTGGTGGTGGGCGTCTGAAATCCCAGCTACTTGGGAGGCTGACGCAGAAAAATCACTTGAACCCAGGAGGCGGAGGTTGCAGTGAGCCGAGATCGCACCATCGCACTCTAGCCTCATGGGCTACAAGAGGCTAGGGGTGACAAGAGCGAAACTCCATCCCTCTCTCTCTCACACAGACACACACACATACACACAAAGAGGCCAGGTTGGGCCAGGCACAGTGGCTCACACCTGTAATCCCAGCACTTTGGGAGGCAGAGGCGGGCGGATCACAAGGTCAGGAGATCAAGACCACGGTGAAACCCCGTCTCTACTAAAAATACAAAAATGAGCCGGGCGCGGTGGCGGGCGCCTGTAGTCCCAGCTACTCCGGAGGCTGAGGCAGGAGAATGGTGTGAACCCAGGAGGCGGAGCTTTCAGTGAGCCGAGATCGCGCCACTGCACTCCAGCCTGGGCGACAGAGCGAGACTCCGTCTCAAAAAAAAAAAAAAATACACAAATTAGTCAGGCGTGGTGGCAGCACCTGTAATCCCAGCTACTTGGGAGGCTGAGGCAGGAGAATCGCCTGAAACTGGGAAGTGGAGGTTGCAATGAGCTGAGATTGCGCCACTGCACTCCAGCCTGGGCAACAAAGCAAGAATCGTCTTAAAAAAAAAAAAAAAAAGAGGCCAGGTTAACTGATGGCGAGAATGCATGGAGAGTATGCAGTCTCAACAATTAAGAGATTTGCCTTACCTTCAAGCTTGTCCTGAGTGACTCTGCAAAAGCCTCTCTTTCCTCTTTATTAAAGTTAATCCAGGCTTCTATTGCCTCTGTTGGGTTCTGAGAACATGGAACTCCATCTGTGAGAGCCAGAGGAAAGGCATGGTCAATGACGATCCAAAAGAGAAATTCAGAGTAAGGGACTTTAAAGATGTGAACCGCTTTATTAGACTACTGCTGGGCATGTGTATATATGTCTATGCATACATACACATATACATGAAATTAACCTGAAATTGCCTTTTTTTGGGGGGGGGGGGCAGGGTCTCACCCTGTCGCTCAGGCAGGAATGCAATGGCACAATCACCATCACCGTAGCCTCAACCTCCTGGGCTCCAGCAATCCTGCTCCAGCCTCCCGAGTAGCTGGGACTACAGGTGTGCACCACCACGCCTGGCTAATTTTCTTATTTTCTGTATAGACAAGGTCTCGCTTTGTTGTCCAGGCTGGTCTCAAATTCCTGGCATCAAGCGATCCTCCCTCCTTGGCCTCCCAAAGTGCTGGGATTACAGGCATGAGCCACTATGCCTGGCATGCCTTGCTTTTTTTAAAAGTAGTCTCGTGTTACATGAGGCCTCAAAAAGTTGGGTAAAGACTCACAACTGTTCCTCTCCATAGAAATCTTTAGTAAAAGGCAAAATATTTATACAATCTGAAGAAAAACCAGAATATGTGCCTTGCTTTTTTAAATCAAAATGGATGGCTCGATATGCTCCCATCTGCCATGGAAGCAACCTACTAAGCTATAGAGCTCACACCATTTTTTTTTTTTTGAAATGGAGTCTTGCTCTGTTGCCCAAGCTGGAGTGCAGTGGCATGATCTTGGCTCACTGCAACCTCTGCCTCCGGGTTCAAGTGATTCTCCTGCCTCAGCCTTCCCAATTAGCTGAGACTACAGGTGCCCACCACCACATCCAGCTAATTTTTGTATTTTTTTGTGGAGACGGGATTTCACCATGTTGGCCAGGGTGGTCTCAAACTCCTGACCTCAGGTCATCCGCCCACCTCGGCCTCCCAAAGTGTTGGGATTACAGGCATGAGCCACTGTGCTTAGCCAACCTCACACCTTAAGTATGGTTATATCTCACTTGCAGGGTTAGGATTGTTTCCTGATGTTGGCCCATCACTAAAAAAGTTTTTAGTCTTAGATATCTTACCTCATCACCAATTTACATAGGTAATTAGACCCACCGGGACATCCAAAGTACAGGAGAAATTAGAGTATAATACAAATCACTCCTCAGTACTTTTGTGTGGTTAAGTGTTGTGCTTTAATTTTCCTGACTTCTTCCTCTAACACACTGTGTCTCTGACAGCAATTACACTGAATCTCAACTCGATCTTTCTTAGCAGGTTATCTCAGTAAGACTGCAGGAATAATAATGTAAACTAACACCAGGAAGCATGAGGGTTCCTTTCTCCTAAACTAGAACATTCACTGAACATCACAGCCAAGTAACTGGGTATGCTGTGTCCCCTCCCTAAACTTACCCGAGATGATATCTGTGAGTAGGTGGTGAGGCAAGTGGAGAAATTCCTCTGTATTCTGCAGCTGGGCCAGGTGGGTCTTGGCACAGTGTTTGGCAGCAGTATAGAGCTCAGGATCACTGTGCCGATCTGCCAGCCACATCACCTGAAGGCAGTTTCCCACTTGCACTGTGCGGGCCAAAAACCGAGAGCATTCCTCAAAGAGAGATGTCAACTGATACATGTCTGACACCTCATAAATTTCCTGCAACTCCTCAGCTCGAAGTTTCACAGTCCCATGGTAGATATAATCAACCAGGAGCTGGAAAACAGACTCACTGACATCCTGCAGCACAATCACCCGGTTGTGGGCCTCCTTCAGGTTAGAAGTGAACATGGATCGGAAGAAGCAGCTCTGAGCTGAGAGGACCAGCCGATGGAGCTGAAACTCCCGGCCTTCCACCGAAATGGTGACATCAGCAAAGAGCTCCTCCTCTAGACACAGTTTCATGATGCCTTGAGCCACACGGCCTGAGTGTGACCGATCTTTGAAAGTATAGTTCACAAAGTAGTTCTCATCCATGGATGCTCCAGGCTCCTCTGGTGATTCCATGCTAGCCAACTTCTCTCTCTGCCAGCTGTCTGCAAAGCAACACCACCTTGAGTAACTTGCGGAATTCACAGCCATAATCTGTGAATCCAACTGTCCAACTCAGGGAGGGAAACGGAAGAAGTGACAGCAAAGTGGGTCCAGATTGGCCTTAGTCCTGGTCCTGTCCATGATGTCCCTGACGCTATCCTTTAACCAAACCTGGGTTCGTTCTCCCCAGTGGCACCACTCCGCTAATGAAATAAATAAAAGTTCCAACTCTGGGTGTTTTCCTGAGAAAACA